GGGTGAGGCCCTTCTGCAGTGGTTGTGAGCACGGGCCTCGGGTTCCCTGCACTGCCTGGGTTCCAATCCCAGCTTTGCCACTGGGTACCGTATGAGAAGCATTTTGAACAGTGCGTCACTCATTGCATGTGATAAAAGGAAGTCTTGGTTGTTTAATCCCCAGGGCTCAGGAAAGCTAAGAGCAGGGTTATCTTGAAATAAAGCATCCCTAAAGTCAAAGGACATCCAAGAAGGGCTGAATGGGATTATTTCTGGAGGTTCACAAGATGCAGGTTTGGGAAGGAGCTCATCATGTGCTTGGTTCTTAGTACCCAGGAGATCTCCTCTTATTATTAAGATTTCAGGGAAATGTCACAGGAGGGGGAAATTCTGCTGCTGCTTGCTCCATGCCAAGCTGTTTCCCTGAGTCACTGCTCTGCCCTCTCCACCAGGCATCTCTGCTCCCTCCTCCGCGTTGTTACATTCAGAGCCAGACTTAGTTTGGGCCGTGGGTGGGAGGCAGAGGGTTCCTTGTAGGCCAGGCCCATAGAATCGCTGGTCTTGCTGCCGCAGAGAAGGCGGCAGGCAGAAGCCTTTCAGATCAAAGGCGAACCCATTCCCAGTGATTCAGTCCACAGTGGCTGTCATGGTTCCAAGTTTATAGATGAAATGCACTTAGCAATGTATCCCTGTCAGAATTAAATCATTACAGAAGAAAAAAATTTTGACTCAGCTTTCTGGAAAAGGTCCTTGTGTTGGCTTCGTTACCACGACGACAGCCAGCTCTCTCTCTGCCATCCTATTGTCGGCGGAGGCCTGGTCGGCCCTGCCGGAGCCAGGAGGTGTTTAAGGCATAGTGCTGACCTGCTGTCTCATACTGCTGAAGGATGCTGAATCCAGCAGGCATTTCCCAATTTTCCTTGCTAAGAGCCTTCACGGAAGGCCCCTGCTGCTGACAGATGTGTCTGTTGTTTGGTAGCTATTAAATTTCTACCACTTGGATAAAGCCACTGAACTCTCATTAGCTCCAGGGGGAATCGCGTGTTTGTAACAGCAAACAGCAATGGGGTTTATGAGACAGAAGCTCTAGGGTACTGTTAGGTGTGGGCAGCGTTGGGCCAGAGCTGACTTCTCATTGAGCTGCTCTTAATTTCCCCTTTGTTTCCTGGTAGGCTTTGGTAAATTACCTTTTACCAGCTCAAAGTTTTTTGTGAGTATATTCATTTCTAGTGGGTTTTTTTTTTTTCCCTTTTCCCACAGAATTAAAGGAATTTAAAGTGCAAGTGGAGGTCTGGGGATGTAGCTCAGTAGTAGCAGAGTGCTTGCCTGGTATGTTTCAGGTCTTGGGCTATCCCTGGCACCACTCCCCCAAAACAGGTTGAAGAGGACTTTAAGATCTTCTGGCCTGGTAGTCGTTAATGTTTAGGGAACCTGTGAGGATGCAAAGTAAGCTCTGGCCCCACTGCCTGTCCATGTACAGAACATTGGCTTATGGTTTGTGGATCCCTGAAGGGCTTATGTGGACTCCAGGCAAGAACTTCCAGTTTGGTCTCTTTCTTCCCCTTTTTCCAGTTTTACAGGTGAGGTCCTGAGGCTGTAAGACGCAAAGAGACTTGCCTGGGCATCCTTTTCCTATTTGACGTCATTCTTTGGCCTGACCTTCCACAGGGCTTCTCCAGCCCTAGATCCACTTAGTGGCAGGGGAGGAGAGAAGGGGGCTCCTAAGTGTGGGCCGAGGTTCTGTGTGGGGTCTCAGACTTGTCCCTCAGCGCACACCCTACACGAGAACGCTCATCCCTGGAAGACGTGTTACAACACATCCGCCCACCGTTTGTGATGCTGTAGATCTGGGGCAGGCCCTGAGAACTAGCATTTCCAGCACATTCTCAGGTGCCGTTGGTACCGGTCTCAGGGCACTTCTCAGTCTCAGGGATTTCAGACTGTACAAGAGGAGCTCATGCCCTTGCTGCCACCAAGGGACCAGAGTGTGGCTGGGTGATCCGACTGCCGTGCCCTATGTAGTACCGGCTCTCTGATGGGACCACTTGAGATGTTTGTGGGGATACTGTTTGTCATCATGGTGTTGGGGCCTTAGGGAATCGTGACAGCAAACTGGGAAGCAGTGAGACACTCCTTTCTTTTCCTGATCGCACGTCTCACTCTGCTATTGAACATTTCTCTCACAATCTACTCAGAAACTAAAAGCATATAGACCGCAGACTTTGCCTTACATGCTCTCTTGTTTGGCCTGACCAGAATACCGCCCCCCCGCGCCCCCGGTTTTATTTCCTTTGACTCCAGAAATACCTTTCTTTATTATTGTTGTTTTTTGAGACAGGGTCTCAAAATACGGTCCAGGCAGGCCTTGAACTGTGGTTATCCTCCTGCCTCTGTCTCCCGAGTGCTGGGATTACAGCGCTACTGCGCCCAGCTCCAAAAACATCTTTTTTTTTTTTTTTCGTCTTTTTGAGACAGGGTCTCCCTGTGCAGTTCAGGCTGGGCTGGAGCTCACTTTGTAGCCCAGGCTGGTCTTGAACTTGCAGCGATCCTCCTGCCTCAGCCTCCACAGTGCTGGGATTACAGGCGTGCGCCACCACGCCCGGGTCAAAAACATCTTTCTTTTTTTTTTTTTTTGTTTTTTGTTTTTTCTCCGGTACCGGGAACCGAACTCACGACCTTGCGCTTGCCAGGCAGGTGCTTTGCCGCTGAGCTAAATCCCCAGCCCCAAAAACATCTTTCTTAAAGATTTACATTCTGACACTTGAGCAGATTTCTTGGGGTGTCAGGTTTATGCAGAACAAACCCCAGACTCTCCCCTGTGTTCCACAACCCTGGAGCCATCCAGGCCTGACTTTATCCATGTGTGACAATTTTTAATCCTGAATTGGGCTTCTTTTGCTTGCTCATTACAGGCTTCGGTTTGCACCTGCTGCCTTTTTATGTGAAACTGAACCTTCAAAATACTCTAATTTTCCTTGTTTTGATACTGGTGATGTTGCCTAGGCACACAGTGAATACAGTGAAAAATAATCCTGCCCCATTCCCTCCAGACTTGTGCTCTCGAGGCTCCCACCCGTCCCCGTGCTCGGCTCTGCAGTACTTTGGGGTTTATCCAGGAGTGTTTCAGGTGATGTAAACATCCATGTGTACATTACTTCCTTTTGGGGGAGGTGCGCACTGGCCCATTAATGGGGCTCGACACACTTTGCTTCTGATACAGAAGCTTGGGGATCATCATATATCCATTCATGAAGAGCTGCCTTGTGTTCTGTGTTTTTCTTTTTGTCCCAGTGCTAGGAATGGAACCCAGGGCCTCACAGGTGCCGGGCGAGTGCTCTATCCCACCGAGCCCCACCCCCAGCCCCGCCTCATCGTCCACAGTGGTGCAGAATATTCCCTTCTGTGAATGTATCATTATCACACTGGTCCTCGGTGGACATTTGGTTGTTTCCAGCCCTTGGTTCACCTCACAGTGCTGCAGCTGGACTGTCTCAGGAGCGCTGTGCTCCTCTGAGGCTGTATTACACCCCTAGAAACCTCCTAGGGCTTCTAGGAAGAGACTGGGGAGGGGGAGCACAGCTCTGCGGAGAAAGGGAGAGTTTTCACGCTGGGTGGAGGAGGCCTGCTCTGTGGACTGTGCCCGCCCCAGGGCGTCCTCTCTCCACTGTTGGGTGCCCTTGGGTCAACCTTCAGGCTCTCCCCACCCCCATCTTGGTGTCTGTGAGGTGACCTGGGACCCTTGGGCCTGTCCACCCTCAGGGTACCTGCAGTTAGCATTTAATTTCCTCTCAGGGCCGGGTCTCTGGAACTTCAGTTCAGTGAGGCAGGAGAGGCCCAGCCTTGTCTCCTGGAAGCTGCCTTGCCTCCCACCCAAAAGGACCCTCTTGGAGGCCTTGCGAGTGGCCCTGGTGACCCCCTCCGCCTCTGTCAGTGGACGGGGAGACAGCAGTGCGTGCATGGCCTGCGTGCTGGGACTTGCTGAGCGGTAGAGCTGGAGGAGGGACGCACGTCTTCGGGGATAGTCATCTCCCTGGATTTCCCTGTGCTCTCAGTGTGCTCTCTGCTCTTCTGGTGTCTCTAGCTTTCGTGCCTCGGGATGTGAGGGGTGGCGAGTTGTGGCGTTATCGTCTCTGACGAGACCGCCATCGGCCATGGAACGGACCCCGGTCCTTGCAGGTGACGACGGGGTGGTGGCTGTGGAAAAATGTTTGAAAGAGACCCTGGGAGGATGCACCAGGGTGTGTTGACAGGTGGGGCTGGTGTATTTCAGCGGAGGGTCGATGAGAATATTATCCACAGTGAGCTCTTTGGATGGTTCCTTTAAGCACAGTGTCCATTGCTGATGGGCCACGAGGGCGTCCCTGTGGGTGGGGTTCTCCTTTTTGTACAGGTACACTGTGTTAGCCTAAGGAGCTTGAGTAAACACTGTCACCTTCCACAAAGAACTATGAGTGCCTTCTTCCCTTGAGGTCTGTGGGCTTGCTGATCTGTCTTCTGGATATAGTTTCTTGATTTTTGTTATTGGATATGAGCGAGGCAAAGAAGTACAGTACGTACCTTGTGTGTATCAGAGGGGCCTGTGTGACATCGGTGGCTTGGTCGTGGCCTTACCAACAGTGATACAGTAGGATGGCAATTATGGCAAAATACAGGGCACATGTCATCTGCTAGTGGGTGATTATTATCCACCTGTTTCTGATACCAGAGAGGCCTGTGTGCCTGGATCTATTTTTTTTTTTTTTTTTTAAAGAGAAGCCAAAAGTCTAGGTTATTATAAGAAGTCTGCCAAATTTTACATTTTGACAACAAATTTAGTAGATTTTACAACAGTGCTATGTACATTGAAGAAAGACTGTCCGACCTCAGAGACAGCAAAGGGACGGGGGTGGAATGTCCGGGGAGGAGCAGTCCTGACATGGTGCCGGGGCTGTGTGTATGTGTGTGTGAAACTCACGCCCTGTCCGTGCGATCCGGGCCTCCCTGACTGTTTTAAAATGTGTGGTCCTGTGTGTCTCTTTCAGATCCTGGCTCTGCAGAGAGAACGGCCCAGAAAAGAAAGTTCCCTAGCCCTCCACATTCTTCCAATGGCCACTCGCCTCAGGACACATCCACAAGCCCCATTAAAAAGAAAAAGAAACCCGGCTTACTGAACAGTAACAGTAAGGAGCAGGTAAAGGAGCCACCGGGAGTGGCATCCGCACCAGCGGGACAAAGGCCAGCGAGCAGCATGGCCGCTCCCCGGCGTCCCAAGGCTGGTGACTTGGCATTGACGTGGCATGCTGCCTGGCGCTGCCTGGCCTTGGCGTAGGATGAAAAGGACAGTTAGAAGGGCCCTTGTAAAAACTTCCAGCAGGCCTAGAGATCTGCTCTGGGGACAGAGTGGTGACCCAGATGAGATGTGGGTATTGTTGTCGGGCTGGGAGTGGGGGTTTTCCTTAGATTCCTCTTTCCCCTGCAGCCTGAGGACATTTTCCCTCCTGACTCATCCGGCCCATTTGTCTGGAGGTCATTGCTTGGCCGAGGCCTACTCCCTGCTGGTCTCATTTTCTCATCTGTAAAATGAAGGGCGTGGGTCTGGTGAGCGGCATCACTGAGGCGAATGCCGGTCATGGGTCACCATTTCTTCATTCTCCTGGGTATACAGCCCACCTGCCCCGGCAGCCAGCTCATACCGGAAGTCCTGTCACTATCTTGGATCCTGTCTGAGGAACCTTCTAGCTAGACGGATGCAGGCTAGATATTCTTGGATTAGGAAAAAACAAGCGGCATTGATCTGGACTCACTGGTGACATGTGTGTGGCACTCCGTGGACCTGAAGGTCAGCTGCCCTAGCGTTGTCCCTGGGCAGGGATTCCTGGGAAAGTACCCTTCCATTTTACGCATTACTGGAGAACTGGAGCGGTCCCGGGGCTTGGAGTTTTGAGTTAAGCGGGAGCCTTGCCTTCACAGGAAGAGACCTAGCAATGGTTAAGTGCTTGACGACTGAGAGAGGTGTGTGTTTCTGAGCACAAGTCTATTTTCACTCTCAAAATTATAGAGCAAGGTGCCAGCTCTGCCTTTTGCTGTGTGGCTGCGGGCAAGTTAACCTCTTTGTGTCTAGTTACTGAAATGGTGGTCGTGATCGCACTCACTGTGCACCCGCAGGTGTTGAGGAATGATGGAGCGAAAGGATGCACGTAATAATAACAGTAGTGTTAAAAACGAAGCCAGGCACTATGCTAAGCAGATTAATCATACGATCTGTACACGAAATACATAGTGTCTGTAAAAGTGTTCCAGACCCATCCTGTCCCATACGGTAGCCATAAGCCACACATGACAAGTGTGACTAAGGAACTAAGTTTTTCAGTTCATTTACTGTAAAGATAAGTAACTACCCATCACTCGTAGCTACGTGTTGGATGGCTTAGGTCTAAAGCCAGTTAGGAGTCACCATTAGAGGGGAGGAAATTAGTGGACCCTATGGATATTTTGAGGGACTCTACAATTTGAAAAAATTATGTAATAGTGTTGATGGTGACACAACCAAAAGTTACCTGGGCCTGGTGATACAGATCTACAGATTACAATCCCAGCCCTCTGAGAGGCTGAGGCAGGAAGATGTTGTGTTTAAGCCCAATCTGGGCGAATTAGAGACTTAGTGACAGCCTGTCTCAAAATAAAATTAAGAAAAGAGAAAAGGCTGGGGATGTAGTTCAGTGTGAAGGCCCTGGGTTCAAGTCCCAGTACTCAAACAAAGGACTTACCGTGTTGGCTGCTGTTGTAAACATATTTGCGTTAATCTTAATGTTTGTGGTAACCCTGTGGTGGAGGCTGCATTCACCCCCATTTTGCAGATGGAAACACTGAGGTTCACAGAGGTTATGTTTTTTCCTAAAGGTCTCAGTCAGCAAGCAGGACACTGCATTGGAGGATAGGTCTCCCTGTCTGGCTTAAAGCTGGTGACAACCACCCTCTGTGACCCAGGAGCTCTGTCATAGCTGTCAGGCCTGAGGACTAAGAAAGAACCATGAAAGCCACAGATAATCCCCAGAATTTAGCAAGTAATTCGACTTCCTCGGCCAACACTCTCCTCCTTGTTACCAGGAGGTTGGCAAAGCAGACAAGTACCAGACAGCCTTTCTTCAGCCCGCTTCCCCTGCACGTATACTGTGAGTCCCTACCTGGTCCCTAGAAACCTGCTCCTGTCTCTTCTTCTGGTTGCTAAGAGACTTGGGCGTCGTATTTTCCCCCTTCCTCGCCCGTGCGCTAACACCAGTTCTGGAACACTTAAGCCTGCGATGTGTGTGTGTCTGTCCTCCAGCTGCGCTCGCAGCCTCAGATCAGTGGCCAGCGTCCAAGGCTGCTGCCTCGCCGGTGTGACACAGGGTGAGCGTTGTGGATGCAGGGAGTGTTCAGGGTGTGAGACCCAGCAGGGCAAAGGTGGGAGGGCGCAGGCCCGGGCACGTCCCTGGGTGACCAGTTGCCTACAGTATTCCCCAAAGAAGGGCAGCACTCTGCCCGGACACGTGACTCACTGTTGCCTCGGCGTCTGGAGACTGTGTGACCTTGTGGGGGACTTTTTTTTGCGCTTCAGTTATGTCAAAAAATAGGGGCTTAGACTGGGAACATTGTTAGGTTGATTGTAGGGTTTGCTTCTCTGATCTCAAACTCCAGGGCACAGCAGGCAGGAAACTTGTTGGCAAAGGCCGAATAGCTTTACTGGGAAGGGCGGCATTCCTGACCCTTGACCCCTCATCCCTGCTGGCTGGTTTGCAGAGTCCAGCAGTTTCCTTCAGCACTGTTTTCCTCAAGCGGAACGTAATTGAAACTATGCTGGGTGCCTTTCTTCCTCTTTCCTCAAACACTGTGTTCGGCTAACACAATTTCTATGAGTCACCAACACTTGAGGGCTATGAGATTTCCAATTAAAATGTGAATTTTCGGGTTCCCTTTCTTCCTTCCCCTCCCCTCCTTTCTCCTCCCTACCCCGCTTTTCCTTGGTGATACTACTGAGAACGGAGCCCAGGGCCTTGCAAAGCCGGGCAAGCAAGGGCTCTTCCAAGTGCGGTGTCTCAAGACGCTGTCATGGGGTTCTCATGGGGGAGCACGTAAGTCCCCTGCAGAGCCCTGGAGATGGGGCAAACATGCCGCCCTTTCCTGCTGCCCACGCAGTTGAAGGCCGCCCACAGTGCAGCCCTTTCTCCAGGGCCGGCCTGTGTGCACGCGCTTTGCAGTGCCTGCGTGGTTATCAGACCCGAGGGCCAGAGCTGATGCAAGTGTTTTCTCAGGTGTGGTGTCTCTGTGGCCTCTGTAGGAATTGAGCTTGGTTTTCCCAGGCCCTATATGTTGGACCCTGTGCGCACACACAGCCAGACACCTGTGCTGCGCTTTCTGTACAACAGGTATCGGCAAACTGGAGCCTGTGGCCCAAGAGCCTTGTTTTGTTTTCTTGTTTTTCTTTTCTAAAGTACTAGAGATTGAATCCAGGGCCTTTACACTGAGCTATGTCCCCTGTTCTTTTCTTTTCTTTTTTTTCCTTTTCTGACATGGAGTCTTGCTATGCTGTCCAGGCTAGGTTTGAATTTGTAATCCTCCTGCCTCAGCCTCCTAGTGTGCTGGGATTACCCAGCAAGAACCCATTGTTATAAATGAAGTGTTACTGGCACACAGCTATGTTTATTCATTTTTACATTGTTTGTATTTTTGCCTTACAAGCGTTACAGTGGAATCCCTTTAAGTAGAGACTGCGTGGTCTGCCAAACCTCATCTGTTTATTATTATTTTTCTTTTCTTTCTTTTCTTTTTTTTTTTGTGAGACAGGGTCTTATTATGTAGTTCAGGCTTTCCTTGAACTCACTATGTAGCCCAAACTGGCTTTGAACTCATGGGACTCCTCCTGCCTCAGCCTCCCAAGGGCTGGGATTACAAGGTTGCGCCACTATTTATTATTCTTATAAAACCCTTTATAGAAAAAGTTTGCTGGCTCCTGCTGTCTGCTCAGATATTCTACAAGTAAATGAGCAGGGCTTTTCCACATTCTTGTTAACCCAGCCTGTGGGGCAGGAGCAGGAGAATAAGAACATCTGCTTTCCTAACCTGCAATTATCACCGAGTAACACGGGTTGCAGCCTGTCCTTTTCTCTCAGGTCAGTCACGTACTTTATACATGTGGGGAGAAAAGTCATCATAACTCATTTTACCTGAGATGATTTGCTTTTCCTTTTAAAGTTGTTCCCTATTTCTTATCAGATTATTTTTATGGAGCAGGAAACACTTATAAGCAGCAGATAAGGGAAGTATCTGATTGACAAACAGATGGAGCAGGCAGTCAGTCCTCAGCACTGCTGCTGCTCCAGAGAGGAGAGGCCTGAGTATCTGTCCCTGTCCTCTAGGACGCCCAGACCCAGCCTGCCGGGGAGGTGGGGGAGAAATGAAGAGCAACCGGAACTTAATTCTAAAGGTCACTGAACTCGCTTCTGTGTAATCCCCAGCAGCAAACCAAGTAAAATAAAAAACAAAAAGCAAATCAAAGCCCCACTGTTTCTATTAGATTGTGGATGTGGATTGCAGGTTAGGGAGATGGGCTGCCATATTTGAATCTTAGTTTCCTTTAGATCTTAAGGACTGACTCTGGGGCTGGGGATATAGCTCAGCGGCAGAAGTGCCTGCCAGGCAGATGCTAGGTCCTGAGTTCAATTCCCGGTACCAAAAAAAAAAAAAAAAAAAAAAGGACTGACTCTGATGTTTTGTTTTGTTTTTTTGGTCTTTTTGAGTGAGACAGGGTCTCGCTATGCAGTTCAGGCTGGCCTTGAACTCACTTTGTAGCCCAGGCTGGCCTTGAACTCTTGGGGATCCTCCTGCCTCAGCCTCCTGAGTACTGGGATTAGAGGCCTACCTATTCTACCACACCTGATTCGGCTGTGATTATTAACTTATTGGGAGGAAGTAGGGCATTGCACATGTGACTTTATCAGGGCTTCTGCCTCCCTTTCCTGTCTTCCCAGATGGGGGGAAAAAAAGAGGTCTCTCTCTAAGTTGCAGAGCTGACCTCAAACTTTCGATCCTCCTGCCTCCGCCTCTGCTAGCTGGTATTAGAGGTGTGTGCCACTATGCCTGGCTTCTCAACACTCCCCCCCACCCCCCCCCAAAAAAATGTTAGGGAACATTTTCCTAGGCAGACAGCAGACTTGGGCCAGTTTGGCCCTCAAGGTGCCCCCACATATCCTGCAGGGCAGAGGAGGCTCCCCACTGAGGCTGAGCCCATTGTGGCCATTCCCAGGCCTCTTTGAAGGTTTCTAGTAGTTTTCCTACTTTGCAGATTTTTTTTTTTCCTTGAGAATTTGTATTATGTAGAATTTACTTCGGATTACTGAGATTGTTCTCTAAGGGGGTCCCTAAAGTGTCAGTCCTTTCTGCAGCCAGGGGCATCTTGAGTGGAATGTAGGGACCGGAGCTAGCTGGGAGGCCAAGGCTCAATTCTGGCTCTTGGCTCAGGGCTCAGATAAGTTTTTTGTGGGGTGAGTACTGGGAATCAAACTCAGAACTCACACTTGCCAGGCAGGTGCTACGCCACGGAGATAAATAAATCCCTGGCCCCTCAGATAAGTCTTTTTAACTGAGTCCCCACCCCACCCCCGCCCCCTGCCATCTGTCATGTAGAGCTAGTGGTACCCATACCATGGACCTCCCTGGGTGGTTGTCAGGATAAAACAAAGACGGTTTGTGTGACAATACGTTGAAAAGTGTACCATGTAAAATCTACGATAACAAGGATGTTGTTACCTGGAAACCAGACAGACCACTGTATCTTAAAAGTTGAACTGAAACAGGGAAATAATAACTGGGCTAAAGAATTAAGCAATCACACTTAAAGGGACTTAGCTATCTACTTAGTTGAAAGGAGAATGGGAAGGCTTAGTAAAGACGGTTCACGAAGATCTGCTAAATAAGCATCAGCAGGACTCTTTTGAGAAGTGTAGCAATTCTAGGCATCCTGAGGACATTAATTTAAAACCTGATAAGAAAAGCCCAGAACAGGATGTGAGGTGCCTGCGGTATTTGTGACTCTCAATATCCTGGAAGTCCTAGCCATTAAAATAAAGAAAACTGACCCCAGCACTGCAAAACAACGCACCAACACAAACAAGAAGCTTGACAGTGAAGAAGTATTAGACATGAACGGGTAAAACTGAGGTTACTTAAAAGTGTTATTTTCTCAGTCAATAAGCTATTTATATATGAAGTCATTGTTAAAAGTCTAACAGTATTTATATGTACTCAGAGTAACCACTTAGAAAATGTAATGGAAGAAGAGCCCATGTATGATTATTAGCAAAATTATGCAGTATTTAACCCTTATATGGGATCTTTCTGGATGAAACCATAACGTTACTAAAGGATGGGAAAGACACGCGTTCCGTGAGGGTGTGTACTGTATAGTAGGTAACGGGGATGTGTTTAGACTGCTGTACGTGATTTCAGTGCCAAGTGGCTGAAGAAGCAGGTAAAGATTGTGGCTCCAAGTGGGTTGAGCAGCTTTCTGAAGGTCACACAGCCAGTTACCGGGCTGTCCTGACACACTCACCCATTGGACTTCCTCATGCTTTCTACGCTGTATTTCCTACTGGTGTCTGATGGACATTTTCCTGATGAATTTCTTCCGAGTGACTTTTTGTATTTGCAGCGTGGCTTTGCTGTATTCTAGACTGTCTCAGTAGAGAAAGATTTCTCCTGACATTTTGGGACAGGAAGAGGTCTGGCTCCGGGGGCTGTCTACCCATCTCATCTTTCTGCCGTCGTTGGTTCTAGTGAAGAACGTGGTTCCCTAGCACATACAGGCAGCTAACATGTTGGACAGGGATGTGGCTTTTGGAAGCCTATTATTGGCTCCTAATAAGCATTGTAACATGATCGTATGTTGTTGGTGACTTTAATCCAGTTGTTTTATCTTCCAAGTGGCTATTGTTTAAAATTCTCGGGGCCAATTACTGTACTTCTGTTGGCTTTGTGAGTTTAGATTTCCACACAGTGGGTACTTAACTGTATTGGTAATGTTAGTAATGGCAGCTGTATTACATGCATGCATTCTGTCATCCTGTTTAATCTTTACACGATAGCATGAATTTGGGTATTACCATCTCCATTTTACAGATGAGAAAATTGAGGCCGAAAGGTGATGAGCTAAGTCCAAGGTCCTGCAGCTGGTTAATGGTAGAGTTCAAATTTGTCCCTGGGGATTAGACTAGTGCTGTTTAGTAACTCTGAGACTAGCTATCCATCTACGGCCTTTTAAAATAGAAGAAAGAAAAAAATCATAGTAGCGAATGACGTACTGATGCTGTATTTTAGTAGAGAAACCCAGAATAGCTTGGCTTTTTCGTGGATTTGTGAAATGCTGTAGTTTTCTCGTGTTGTGATTGATGTACTTGTAAATACCTGTTGAGAATGCACATTTGTTTTGAAACCAAACTTGTCTTTCTTGCCTACATTTCAGTCAGAACTAAGACATGGTCCGTTTTACTATATGAAGCAGCCACTCACCACAGACCCTGTTGATGTTGTACCGCAGGATGGACGGAATGATTTCTACTGCTGGGTTTGTCACCGGGAAGGCCAAGTCCTTTGCTGTGAGCTCTGTCCCCGGGTTTATCACGCTAAGTGTCTGAGACTGACATCGGAACCAGAGGGGGACTGGTTTTGTCCTGAATGTGAGGTTAGTTCCTGATGAATGAATGCATTACCTGCTTCGTTTCCTCTCCTCTCACTTTCTTCCTTTCACTTTTAAATTTTCAACTAATCCAGATAGAGGGAACAGAGAAATTTCTTGCCTTCCTCGTGCTCTATTCTGGCCGCCCCTTTTTGGACCGATGTCAGCGCCAGCCACCGCCCTGCAGCTCTGTGAAGACAATTGATTACAATGCGCATTGGTTTTGGATCTTCATGAGTCTGGATGGCTTTGAGATCTGCAGTCATCTTGGCTTCTTCGACAGTGAATATCTTGGAAGCTTATGCATGACAGTTAACCTGGTTTTGAAAAGATGTCGTGCTGTTTCTCCTTTTCCTGGATGTTGTGTCTTCTGCACTGTCATCATCAGTAGCAACAGTCAAGCGGAAGACCACTTGCAGCCGAGGGCTCCGTGTGGCCACCCGATGCTTTCTTTCATGCGACAAATATTTCACGAGTGCCTGTGAGGTGCTGGGGATTCAGCAGAGCACCGGGATAGGAGAAGATCACACTCTTCTCAGTAGAAAAAGGCAGAAATCACAATGGAGTTACGTGTAATAAGTTGGAAGGAAAATGCTCTAGAGAGAAGGAATTGAAGGATGGGCAGTAGGAAGGTGAGGAAGTTCAGGGTGTTCCCCTTTTAATGCACAGGCCTGGGGAGGCCGCACTGAGGTACAAGAAGGACCTGGAGGGCTGCAGAGTGAGCCCCATTGACACCTGGGGAGCCCTTCTGGACAGAGGGGGCTCAGGTACAGAATGATGGGCACAGTGAAGGTGGCAGCACGGTTCTCCGTTGGCACAAAGCCCTAACTCCTCTTCAGTCAGGCAGTTACTAGGGTTCCACCGTTCTGAGGTGGCTTCTGGTCCCCGGCAACTCCCAACCCGGATGCTGAAAATAAGAAAGTCGTCTACAAAACCACTTAGCATAGAATATATTTTGGATTTCAGAGTACACTGGTCTTCGATCTCAAATGAAGAAGTTTTCTCTGTGTGAAAAAGAAGGATAACCCAGATGTCTTGAATGGAAAACAAAGAAATCCAGTTTTGTGGGGTATCGCCTGAGGTGCCACGTGTGTATAGGGATGGGAAAAAAAATAAGAAATACGTGAAAAGAAATTTGGCATCATGTCAGGCTGATGATGGCACTGCCACGGATTCTGCCTCCAAAATGGCAGAAGGGGGCTGCTGGGTCTCTTGGGCTCACGCTCAGTGGAAATGTGTGGCCTAAGCTTTGGTCAGCGGTGTCCCCTCTGTTTTGGGGGCTTGAGCTCATTCTAGTACAAGTAGTGTGGGACCTGGACTTTTCACCAATTTTCTTTTGTCTTAAGGAGCTCTTCCCAACTGTTTAATGAAATTGCAAAATAGATCCTTCCCCACAAGTGATGGTCCCTGCTGAAAGATGGCCGAACCAATAAGGAGCTGTCATCCTCGTGTGTAGGAAGAACTCCAAGGCAGGGAGTGGTGGGCCAGGCTCATTCCATCTCATTCTTGAGGCGACGTGTCCTTCTGCGGCCCAAAGACGGCTGCTGGCATTTCTGTGTCATCTGGATAGCCATAAGTGTCCCAAGGGAAAGATACCTCTTCCTATCAAGCAGCGGTATACCCGCCACCCGTCAGCTGGTGTCTGGACGCCTGAGCTTTACCCATCATTCATTCTCCAGCTAATGTATTTAGGCTGATTGGTCAGCCTTGGATCCCCAGTTCCTATGCAGAATGGAGGCTTGAACAAGGCTTGGTTTAGCTCTGGGATGTGGGCACCAGGCACTGCCAGCAAGGAAGAGTGAATGACAGTTGTACAGCGACCCGCATGCCCTCCCCAGATAGTGCCTGGAAACAGAGTGGAATTCAAACCAGCAAGGCCTTAAGATTTAGGCCCTGCATGTCTTCCAGGGGAGAACTGGTAAGGCAGAACAGCTGGGAATACTAGCTGCTTCAGGCTTTCGTCACCAGGCAATTAGATACATGCGTCATACCCTGTTTGCAGCTTCTGAGTGACTCTTGTGTGACCCTTTTCCTCGACAACTGACCCGACACATCTGAGAGTTCCTTTTGGAGGTCTCAGAGATGTGAAGAATGGAAACTAAATCCAAATTAATTGAAGAAAACATCTCAGCTCTCCTTTCCCAGATGGTTGGAATGTTTCCTGACATCAGCAGGCTTTGCTATTTTTGTTTTTGCTGCTACTTAGGTCTTCTAAATCCCTGAGATAGATAGTTCCAGACTGACATAGCAGAATCTGGTTTCAGCCATTTCCCTCTGGGTTGGAATTTCCCTTATAAAATGACATTTACTGTCCATACATATAGGCAGCTAGGCCACGCCCCTGCGGAAGTTTGCCAGGATGTCCTCGGTGTGTTTACATCCATGGAGAATGGTGGAGAATGAATTCACATTTATTATTAGTGCACACCCATCCCTGCATTCCTTCTACAGAAACTCTGTCCGGTTTCCCCAGCAATGTCATTGAGATGGCCTTGCCAGTCTCCCGAACATAGCTCAGAGCCTTAAGAGGATCAAGATAAGCGGTTGAAGAGCATTCATCCTGTGGAGAGATCACCTTGAAACCAACAGTGGCCTTTCCTTTCATGGCCTGCTCTTGAGACGCAAAAGTTGTAATGATGACTTTTCTTCCTGGTCCCACTCTACCCACACCTTCCTCAAATCATGTCATCCCCATGAGTTAGAAATACTTCCTAATAAGGTAATAAATAGACCGGTGTGCTTTGTAATTTTTACCTCCAGATCCGGTGCACTTGGTTCTGGTGGACTGGAGTCCTTGCCAAGCAAATTTATTTTTTTTTTCCCATTTAGATGGGAATGACTTTTTTAGGTGTGAGTAACCAAAGTAGAAGGAGAGTAAATACCTGGGCTGTGATCTCTTGTCTCTAACTGGACGTGTGTGTGTGGTTTTGACTTGTAGAAGATTACAGTAGCAGAATGCATCGAGACCCAGAGCAAAGCCATGACCATGCTGACCATTGAGCAACTGTCCTACCTGCTCAAGTTTGCCATTCAGAAGATGAAGCAGCCAGGGGTAAGAAGTTCCTGCTGGTGTAAGCATGAATGAAGAGATAGTGGCTTCTGTTTTGTACGATTAGTACCCCACGTATTCTTCGTAGGCTTTGCTTTTCAGACATCTGTGCATACTCATGGGAACTTCTTGTGTCTAAATTAAAAGGAAAAAAAAAGTATAGTTTAAACATAAGGTGTAATGGTGTTTAGTCAAATCTGTGTGGTGAGCGTTCTGTGTTCCAGAGAAGTACAATTAGGAAATAACACACAGAAGGCAGTTAATGTGCGCTTAAAATTCACGTGGGTTGAGGTGAAACTTGGTACTCCATTGGCCAAGGATGGGTGGGATGCATTAGTGACATTCCGTTTCCGGGAGAGCTGGGTGCCACCCGGTTTATTTATAGCTGTGGTCTGGTCATGAGACCTTCAAATAAAATTCAACCAGAGAATTGTGCAGAAAGCGTGAGAATTTGATTCGTTCCTTCAGTTTTGAAATGGGATTGATGCATACATGCCCTTTGTCCCTTTGAAAAATCTGTGAAAGTGGCGCCCGCCATACTTGGCTGGGAAGTGGTACATGGCCCAGCGGTGTCCTGCCTAAGTGACCCAGGCTTACCATAGTGGTTGTGGTTGGTGTATTATGATAGCTTGTAGGAAAATGATAATACAGCTGATGTGATATTTGGCCTGTCGATGAATATAAAATATTGAGGGTGAGGTTTTCCCTTTCTGATTTGTACCAAAGCACCCTAGGGCCAAGGGTGACCCTTTATGAAACTCTTTAGGGTTTGTTTTCTAAGTGAATTGAATATACAGACATTTAATTTGAGTACATTTAGTGATCACTGTGGTTTTATTTAAAAAAAAAAAAAAAAAAGCTAGGGTGGAGGGTGTAGCAGAGTGGTAGAGTACTTGCCTCACATCCTGGGTTTGATCCCTAGCACTGCAAGAAAACAAAATGGGTTGGGGATATAGCTCAGTGGTACAGCTCCTGCCTGGCAAGTACAAGGTCCTGAGTTCGATTCCCAGCCACAAAAGAAAAAAAAGACAAAGAAAAATTAAAAACTAAAGCAAAGCAAATCCAACCTTTTGGCTTGAGATTACATTCTTAAATATGATTTTATGATTAAAGAAAATTAGAGTACGCCAACTGGGGATTGTAGGTTGAGAACCTGTTTGTCTCTTCCACAAAATCTCAATCAGTGGAGGAAGCAAAGTGTGTACTCTTAGTGAAGTAATACTGGAATGATTTTTATGTTGAATGTGACAAGGAATCACTTCTGCTTCTTTTAGGCTAAATTCTGTCTGCTAAAGACTGAAAAACCAAAATAAAGAATCAAAGAAGACATTAATCTCTCACGCATATTGTTTAATGTAGAATCACTTAGGGAAGAAAGTTGCGAAGTTTTGGGATGGGAGGGGTGGAACCCAGGGCCTTTTGCATATTGAGCCGTACCATAGCCCTGAAAGGTCTTTTTAACTGACAGTAACCAGACATTCTTTCTGATGAAGGAGGGTTCTAAACTGCAAATGGTAATCTATTTAGATGCCTGGCTTGAGCATAATTTGGTATTTAATTTTTTAAATTTTGTTTTTAGCACTAGGTATTGAACCCAGGGTGTTCATGCTGAGCTATATCCCCGACTTTTTTTTATTTTATTTTTATTTTGAGTCAGAGTCTTGCTAAGTCACTAAGGTGCGCAGGCTGGGCTTGTACTTGGGGTCCTCCTGCCTCAGCCTCCCAGAGTGCTGGGATTACAGGCGTGCACAGGTATATTTAATCAAACCTTTTAGATTTTTTAAAATTAATAAATAAATACCACCCAGCAACAAACTGGGCCTTATATCTTAAGCTGATTGAAGTAGGATTTACCAAAATGGATCAAGACCTAAAGCTTTTATAGAATCCTTGTATTGAAGGCCTTTTGGCTTCCTAAAGGAGGGAAAAAAATCACTGTGAGGTTTTCTCACATGTGGAAAAATGCCCGCTGGCATTTTGGGGGGGTTCATCTGGTGTGCCATCTTTAGGTATACCCAGATTTCACTCTCAAGTCAGTTTTGGTTATGGGGGGGGTACTTCAGCCATCTCTAGGGTCAGGGCTAAGGTGACTAGTGGTGGGTTATCATTGTCAGCCTTCATGGAAGAGGACAGGACCTGCTACTTGGGTACGTACTGAAAACGGAACAAGTAACAAAACCAAAGCAAATATAACTGGGCCCGGGATCATCAATAACAAGTGGACTTAGAAGGTGGACTGCTTTGGGGTTTCCCGAGGCCATCCTTTATGGTGTCATTAGACTGGAGTTTCAGAGAGGTTTCCCTCATGTCTTAGAATCCTTTGCTGGTATCAGTGCCTGGCCCTCCACAGTAGTGATGAGTCTGCGCCCTTGCGTGTGTCTTTTCTTTTACAGACAGATGCCTTCCAGAAGCCCGTTCCATTGGAACAGCATCCTGACTATGCCGAGTATATTTTCCATCCCATGGATCTTTGTACATTGGAAAAGGTTGGCCTCTGTTGTAGCCGTCAGTTGTCAGGATGGCTCAGGATTCTCCTTCAGTTCCCGTGTCGTCTCTCTCATTAGATGACTGCTGTGTTTTCCTGCTCTGGTTTTATTTGTGTAGAAGAATTCCTACTCCTCTCACTTCTTTTCTCTGTAACATTCTCCCAGTAATGGTGGTGGAGTGCTCAGATCCACTGACGGTACTTTTTCAAAAGGGTCATAGTGTCTTTTTGGGGGGGCGCTTTTCCAGGGGTTGAACCTGGAACCTCACACCTGCTAGGCAAGCGCTCGGCCACTGAGCGCCACCCCCAGCCTGAGTCCTAGCTTTCTAAGCATTAGCGATTAGACGCATTGGAGCCTACCTTCCTCTGTCTTTGGAGGTGCTAATCAGGCAGCAGGAAGAACGAAGAAGAAATGTAGTGTCCGGGAGGCCTCCAGATTAGCAGTAGAGACACATCTTCTTAAAATGGACTTACTCTGCTGATGCGGCTGTTTCTTTATTACCTGTAGGTGTTTTTAAAAGTTCACACTGAAATTCCTTACTGAAAATTGTAACACTTCAGATTGTGGATGTCATTCTGGTGCTGATTTCTCAGACTGTTAGCTAAATATGGGTAATGGAAAGCATTTGTAAAGAAAAAGTTTTAGTTCATATTATGAGCATTGATAAACCTCCAAACAGTAAGTCCATTCTGCTTTGCAAAATTGTACACACTCGTAGTGCGTGTGTGCGGGGCCGAGGGGAGGACATTGATAAAAGACGGTTAATCCTAGCTTTGTATTTGGAATAAGTTGCTTTTTCTTTCTTGTGTGGTGCTGGGAGTGAATCCCAGACCCTCATGTATGCTGGGCAAATTCTCCACTGCTGAGCTGCGACCCCAGCTCTTGGAATAAATTTCTTAACATTACTGTGTTTCACTTTCATCTTCCATAAAAGGGGAAGATAATACATACGTCACTGAGTTTTCCTGAGGTTTTTGTGAGACCATTTGACTTTTTTCCCACTGTGTGTCCTATATTATTTTTTCTTTTTTTTTTTTGCTAGTTTTTAAAATAATTTTTATTAGTACCTGTGTATGATACGTAGTAATTATATACTTTCAGCCTGGGGGTCCCATACAGGTACATAGAAGCTTGATCATTTTTACTCCCCCAGCCGCTCATGACTTAATCATAAATAACACACCAGTATATAAAACGTCCTCTTCTTTGGAAGGCCCTGCTTGATAGATGACATCAGCTTTGAGATGAGAAAATTCAAGTTACCATGATGAATTCGACGAGTACCTTTTTATAGGGTTGTAGATCTTCACAATAATAGCACCTTGGGAAATGAGTAAAAGAGCATTAATTAATTTGGGAAATGATTGCTAAGAAATTATGTGAGGACGCAGGTGTTCCTGACGCTGGTCTGCACAGACTCACCGGTGACTGTGCGCCGATTCATTTCTTCCCAGAATGCTAAAAAGAAAATGTATGGCTGCACCGAAGCCTTCCTGGCCGATGCAAAGTGGATTTTGCACAACTGCATCATTTATAATGGGGGTGAGTGGCTTTGACAGTTTCCGCCAACGAGAGAATGCGGTATGTGCTGCCTTGTGTCCTTCATTAAAAGTAAGGCTTCTAAGTCATGTATCAGGGTGAGTACAGATCGCTCTGATGGGTGAGCCATGGTCATAATGGGCATTTCAAGGCAGGAGCTGACATCTCAAGCGTCTGTATGCTGTGTGGTGCTGCTGTTCTTCCTGTCATTCCAAAAGTCCACACTTTAGTGGGGATATAATTACATACAATGGAATGCAGATTATTGTATGAGTCCATTAGTTACCGTGACAAATGTATAACCACAATCTGAGTAAGAGCTAGCATATTACAGTCCCCTTGGTCTACTCAGGTCTACTACTGCTCTGTCTTGTCACTGTGGATTAGTTTTGGGTATCCTACGATTTCTTCTAAATAGATCATAGAGACTGTATTTTTTGGGGACTGTTTTCACACATTAGTATCACTGGGATTCATCTGTGTTGTTGTGTATACCAGTGGCTCCTTCCTTTTTAATTGCTGAGTGGCTTTTATTTGTCAACATCCCTGAGCTGGTCTAATCATCTTGTTAATGTTTTGAATTTTTTGTATGTTTGTTTGTTTCTGTTTTTTGAGATAGGGTCTGGCTATATAGTTCAGGCTGGCCTTAAATTCACTAGGTAGCCCAGGCTGGCCTCAAACTCACAGTGATCCTCCTGCCTCTGCCTCTGCCTCTGCCTCCCAAATGCTGGGATTACCAGCGTGTGCCACCGTGCCTGGCACACCTGGTTAATGGTGATGGATATTTGGGTTGTTTGACACTTAGGCTCTTATGAATAAAGCTGCTCTGACCACTTTTGTGCAGGTTGTGTGGACATTTGTTTTTATTTCTCTTTGATAAACACTAGCAGTCGTCAAGTAGTTTTATTTGCAACTGTATAAGAAATAATACCATACTGTTTTTGCAGATGTATCATTTTCTGCTCTACTACCAGGCTTGTGAGAGTTCTGTTTGTTCTGCATCCTTATCAACACTTGCTATTGTCTGTCTGTTTGATTGTGGCCTTGCACAAATCCGGACTGTTTCTGGCGGTGGCACCAACTGGGGATTATGGAGAACAGGAAACTCCGGTTGGTGTGGAGAGGTTGTTGTTGGCAGCTTTGTTGGCTATGGAACATTGCTTTGTTGGTTACAGAATTATCAGATCTTAAGTTTTCAAGACTAGCCAGAGGGGCTGGGGATTTAGCTCAGCGGCAAAAGCACCTGCCTGGCAAGCGCAAGGTCGTGAGTTCGGTTCCCAGTACCAGAGAAAAAACAAAAAAAACAAAACAAAACAAAACAAAAAACTAGCCAGAAATGTAGGCTGTGTGTGTGTGTTTGTGTGTGTGTGTGAGAGAAATCTCCTTGTGGACAAATTTACAATTCTTGAAAATATCGTAAGGTTCAAAGAAAAGGTGACTTTTTGACTATCTTGTCCTCTGGTGTGGTGCAAGGTTGACGGATTGGCGTTAGACTTGGTTCGGATGCTGACCGCATTAGTTAAGTGTTCTCGTGGAAGCAAGGTCACCTGCCCTTGGCTTCCTCATTAATTAAACATGCATGCTTTTGGAGGAGTACTAAGAAGCACTGGGCAGCCAGAATGTGCTACGCAGCGACATCTGCATTCCCTTCTTCAGTCACAGTCTGGACTACTGTGTGCAACAAAGCTGCTTTCTACTTATTTGAGCCTGTAAGGTCAAAGGACTTCAAATATTAATCCATGATCTGTAGGGAAACCATTGACGATTGCTCAGTTTCAGAGATGACATTGAGGCATCGAAGATGGGTTGATTTAGATGGGCGAAGTCCATAATTCGAACAGTACAAGAAGCAAGAAACTTCGGGATTTTAGCTTTTAAAAGCTGAATCCTGGGGGAAAGCGAGTTAAAAGGCTGTTAGTGGACGTATAGTCCCAGGGCGGGGTGTTAGGGGCTCTCCATTAGAATTAATCCTCTTTTCTTATTCCCTTAGGAAATCACAAATTGACGCAAATAGCGAAAGTAGTCATCAAAATCTGTGAACACGAGGTATGTGTCTCCCACCTCCCTGTGATGGCTGCACCCAGAGTGCCGTGTTTGGGAGCTGTTTTCCCGGTACCGGGGATCGAACTCATGACCTTGCGCTTGCCAGGCAGGCGCTGTGCCGCTGAGCTAAATCCCCAGCAGGGAGCTGTTTTCGTCCGCACCATCTTCTAGTGGGTGGCTGTGGTGTCTTTGGAATTTGTTGAGGCACAGGTAGCACCTCCTGTCTTTGAAAAGTAAAAGTCACAAAGATGGTGCCCTCCTTGTGGTTTGTAAAAACACCCTTACCTTAGTAGTGGTCTGAGGCAGAAGAAACCATTTTTTGGATTCCTCTCTGAAATCACCGCCGTGCACTGGGCTTCCTGAATTGTCTTGGTTGCCTGGATCGAGTTCCTCATTTCTCACCGTGGCCCCAAAGTCTGTGGCATTGAGGCAGGGCTCTTTTCTGCTCTCTTGCAAGGTTTCAGCTGTTTCTCAGAGGGTGCCCCAGGGGTCCCAGAGGGGACAGCATCCTCTTGCAGATACCTGTGGTTCTGAAAGTGTGGACTCAGGGACCTGCTGGGCTTGCGAGCTGTGAAGTCCTGTTGTAGTGGGAATGGCAGGAGAAAGGCCTTCTGTACTGGATCCCCGCTGTATGAATAAAAACTGAGATGTAGCAGCCGTGGACCTGGGTGTGTGCCTTCATTCCTTCCTCAAAAAACTGCCTGGCTATCACTGGGAGGGACATGTGTGTGTATGTATGCATTTTATTCCCCTAGGTAATTAAGCACACAGGAAAAACTAAATTTTTCATGGCTATGCAGTATTCCTACGTGCAGCTCATCAACATTTATTTAATTACTCTTCTCTTGTCATTTACCTAAGAGTACCTGGTTTTGTCACTGCTTTAAATAAGATGAAGATGAGTATGGTGATTTGCTTAGGGTAACTTTTAGAATTACGGTGACCACAGGAGAGGCTGTGCACACTGCAGAGGTTTCAGGTGGATACTTCTGATTGCTTTCCAGAAAAACCGTAGCAATTTATACTGTACTCTGGAGCGAACCAGTGTGGTAATTTTTCTGATATCTTTCTAATATTGTGTATTCTAATTTTATTTTATACATTTGTTTATTTTTAGTTTTTATGTTATTTTATTTTTTTAGTTCTTTTAAAGCATTTTATTGGTGCCGGGCATGGTAGCGCACGCCTGTAATCCCAGCACTTGGGAGGCTGAGGCAGGAGGGTCATTGTGAGTTAGGGGCCAGCCTGGGCTACAAAGTGAGCTTAAGGCCAGCCTGAACTGCATAGAGAGACCCTGTCTCAAAAAGACCAAAAAAAAAAAAAAAAAAAAAAAAGATTATTGGTACATTTTAGATATACATGGTGATAACATTCACCATAGGGATGTTCTAATTTTTGGGGGGTGTTCTAATTTTAAAAATATTTGTGTGTCTATTTTCCCCCAGTGTGATCCTTAGACACGTTGGGATCTCTGGGTGCTTAAATTTGCATTTCTTTGGTGATGGGCTGTTTTTTCTGAGATACCTTTGAATTAGTCCAGATGCAGAATGGGGTAGGAGGAGGAAAGGCATTCCTTCATGTAAATGTTCTCTTTTTTTATTCATTTCTTTTTTTTTTTTTATTCACCTATTAAATCAGTCAGTTGTCCAAGTAACTGTTGAGCACCTGTTGTGTTTGAGGCTCCTTGCTTGGTGACAAGAGATAAAGAGAAAAAGAAGTCTCCTGCTGATGGGGAGATAATAGCAACTAACTGCTGAGGGGAAGCTTATGGACTTTGCTGGGCGGGCTCGAATCTTGGCCCTGTCACTTTGCCTCTGTGACCCCTTGCAGAGATTACTTTGACTTCTTGGGGCCTCGTTTTCTCCTTCTTTCAAATGGGCACAACATATATCTTTCCTTCACCTGGGGTTATGCGGAATAAATGAGTTAGCACCCATTGAGCACTTACAATGATAAGACCTCTCTCGGTCTGGTAGATGTATGTCATGTTGATGACGGTGTCATTTATCTCATTTAGATCTTATAAACCTGTGGGGTAGGTACTGCTCTCATCCCTATTCTACCAGTGCGGAAGTGGAGGCCGGGCAAAGATACATAGGTTTTCCTAAAGCCATTCAGCTGAGTAGATGGTGAAGTCTGCATTCAGACCAAAGAGCTTCTGGGTGGTTATTTCAAAGTCATGATGTTATCTTGCAGAATGCATTGTCTTAAGAGGGAAAAGATCATTACTGGCAATGAAGTAGGGCAGCATGGTGTTAGCTGTGAGCAGACATGCATAGAGATGGAGTGTGGCTTGCGGGGAGGCCAGACTGTCTGCAACAAGTCAGAGAGCAGAGCTGGTACAGGCTGAGCTCAGACTGCAGGGCTGAGGCCAGATGGCACATGGCCTTGAAGGAGCCCAGTAGGTTTTTTTTTTTTGTCTTTTTGAGACAGGGTCTCTCTATGCAGTTCAGGCTGGCCTTGAGCTCACTTTGTAGCCCAGGCTGGTCTCAAACTCGCAGTAATCCTCCTGCCTCAGCCTCCCAAGTGCTGGGATTACAGGCGTGCGCCACCATGCCCGGCACCAGTGGGGTTTAGATGTAGTTAGTTTCACAACTTGACACTTCTGACATTTGGGGCTACAAAATTCTTGGTTGCAAGGGCCGCTCTATAGATCGAAGCTTCCAGTGGCACCTCTGCCCCCAAGTTTTAACAACCAAAAATGTCTCCAGACATTGCCAAGTGTTCCCAGAGGCAGGGGTGGGGATAACATGCTCAACAGAACTGCCAGCGTGATGGGAAGGCTCAGGGTCAGAGCAAGCTCGGACTGCGGTGCTAAAGTGGCTCTGACGGCTGGGTGGGCCGTGAACTGCAGTGGAGCGAGCCTGGAGGCCGGGAGAGCGGGGAGTCAGCTGTGTACAGCTGTGAGCCGTAGTCCTGGGTGCCTGGGGGGTGAGACAGAAGATCTTATTGATCCCAGAAGCTGGAGGCCAGCGGGCACAACAACAGAGTGAGGCATCATCTCACAAAAAAAGAAAAAGAAAACCAACCCTCCAAATAAAAGCGCAACACCTAAAAGGATCCGCCATTTATCGGGGGCTGCTAGATGTCAGGCCCTTGGCGTGACACATTCTAATGTCTCTTTCTTTACAGATGAACGAAATCGAAGTATGTCCAGAATGTTATCTAGCTGCTTGCCAAAAACGAGATAACTGGTTTTGTGAACCTTGTGTAAGTTGCGTTTACTTTCCTTATTTCATCTTTTGAGCTTTGTACCTTTGGTGGCTCCTCTGAGTCGGCCTTCTCCAGGGGCGTAGGAGATAAAACTTTGGTTCACGATTTAAAATAATAATTTTTACTGATAAAGTTATTGCAGAGTGAAAGTAATCTAGTAAGGGACATGTGCATTTACTGGACCTAGCGCCCTGGTTCCTGGGTTTATCATTCTCAACAAACTACAACCTGCAGAGTCAAAGGGAGATTATCAGAGGTGTGGGATGTGGCACACCAGTTCCGGGAATGATGTGAACATTGAATGTGTGTGTCATCTACAGACTGTTTTGGGGCCTGTTCTTTTTTTTTTGGCGGTGCTGGGGATCAAACCCAAGGCTTTGTCCTTGCAAGGTAAGTGCTCTTCCACTGAGCCACAACCATAGCCTGTGTTGGTTCTCTGAAGAGGTCTGAAATATTTTCCCGGATGCACCTCAGAGTCATCCTAAACCATGGTTCTTGGGGCTGGGGGTTGTAGAAAGTCACCCTGGTTTCCTGTCAGCTCTGCATTTCTTTTTTTGTCTTTTGAGACAGGGTCTTGCTATGCAGGTCAGCCTGGCCTTGAGCTCACTTTGTAGCCCAGGCTGGTCTTGAACTCGCAATGATTCTCCTGCCTCAGCCTCCCGAGTGCTGGGATTATAGGTGTGCACCCCCACACCCGGGAACTCTGCATTTCTTAACTGTTGTGTTTTGTTTTGTTCTGTGGTACTGGGGATGGAACCCAGTGTCTCAGTCATGCGGCCTGGTGTTTTGCAGAGACAAGTGCATTGTGGGGATGGGCTGGAGTGTGTGTGGGAGAGAGGGAGGGTGGGGATGGAGGGCCGGACAGAGCAAGACTGGGCAAGTAAAGAATGAAAACATACTTCATGAGTCTTTTTGCCTTAGGAGATAAACACCTGAATAGCTAAGGCTCTGCAGAGCCCCCTAAAGCATAAAGGTAGTTACTGCTGCCCTTTAAACGCTGGGCAAGATGCACATTTAGTCCAGACTTGGAAGACCCTGAGTGGACAAAGAGGGGAATTCTTTTGCTTTCGGCCACCCCAGTGACAGCAGAGCCAGGATTCAAGCGTGCTCCTTTTGGCACGTGCCTCTTGAAGGCCCCTCCCACCTTTGTCCAGGTATCATGGCCACGTAGCTTCTAGGGAATTTCATGTGGGCGGGCCCTGCTTAAAACTTTCTCTTTCTGCTTACATGTGTCCTGTATCATTTCCTCCCGATTCCAGTTGTCCTCACATACAGAGCTTTAATTAATGTGTATCTTGTTGCCAAATATATACCAACCCTGGATTTTGTTTTTCTTCTCCTAGAGCAATCCACATCCTTTGGTCTGGGCAAAACTGAAGGGCTTTCCATTCTGGCCTGCAAAAGCTCTGAGGGATAAAGACGGGCAGGTCGATGCCCGTTTCTTTGGACAACACGACAGGTGGGAGTTAAAAACAGGCTTTGAACATGTAGCTTCAACTGAACCTTTACTGTCATTGGATAAGAAAAGAGGTGGAGGGTATGGCTATTATTATTATTACTATCATCATCATCATCCATTTTTGTTTTTTTAAAAGCAAATTTTCCTTTTGTTGGTAGCTGGTGTGGCTATTAATTTTGTTTATTGTCATGATTCCAACCATTGAGCTCGCAGTTGAAAAATATTTTCGTGTGCTGTGTTAAGCCTGATAATGTGTGGGCATCCGTTTTTTTTTTTTTTTTTTTCAGGTATTTTAGAAAATATTCTTGCTTTGGTGGTTTTGTTGATCAAACCAGTATTGGAATGAGTTCCATGGCTATTTTAAGTGCTGCTGTTCTCATTTATTTATTTATTTGTTTGTTTGTTTGAGTAAATTAAACCTCCTTTGCAAATTGCTTTTCAAAATGCTGCTTGCAGGGATCAGAAGTATTTTCCCAGATTGCCAGGAAACGAACCTCTTATCATTATGCTGAGTAGTCCCCTCCTGTTCCCCTTCCTCTGTAGCTAAAATGGGAAATTACAAGGGGAGGCTGTTTAGATAGTGTGAGCCTTCCCTCCCAGCCGGGTGCAGTGCATTATTCTAGCTAATAGCAGTTCCCTTTAGAGCAGGGCCCCTGGGTGCTTGAGAACAACAGGTAGACACAGATGAGCAGCGGTTGCTATCTCAATTCTCTCCCAGCAACTTACGCCATGATTAAATGAGCAAAGACGTTCAAAGGCCACCCAGGTTGTTTGAGAAAGCCTATGGGTACATAGGGGAGACTATTTAAATACATAGGGTAGAAATTATATATCTCACAGAATAAACAACAAATACACTTTATAATTTTAAATAACACACCGGCATCTGAAATGCCACTTTCTCTGTTAAATTTTATTTGAGGCCTTGCAGATCAAAGGAAAGTGCGAACTCCAAGGGAGTCAGATTCCTCCCTAGGAATCCCAGCAGTGCCTTGTCAGCAGACAAAATGGAAATCTGTTGAGATGGTACTGGGTTTGGGATGGAGAATCACACTTTGATTTTAACCGGTCTCAGTGCAAGTCTCTCTGAAATTCATTATTCCTTTTTTTAAAAGAGCGTGCCTTTAGTGCCTGCTCTGGCTCTGGCTATGTGCTGGCTGCGGGCGTGCTGCAGGAGCTGCGGAGACTGTGCTGCCTGCATGGGGCGGGTGCTGCCCAAGCGATCAAGCGGGCTTCCCACCCCAGGTCAGGAGGTGATGGAGAGCCGCGTATGACGATCGGGCTTGTAGGGACCAACAAGAGTTGTGGCTTGGGCTGTGAGGGGCCTGGAGAGGACTGTGGCTCAAACAGCGTGCAGGGCGTAGAGAGGCTGAGGGAAGATGGGACCAAAGGCGTGGGCAGGAATTTGGTTTTTGTTTGAAGAGCAAGGGGAATAGCTGGCAGGCTGTACGTCATTCCACGTCATCAGAGCGTAGGTGTAAACTGTCTCGATGACTTGGGCTTATTCGGTAGGGTAGCACGGTGCAGATGGATATGTGTATACTGGATGTGGGTGACTAGGGATGAAGCAGTGTTTACCCCGTGCACAAATACTCCCAGGCCCTCCGAGTCGATGACTCTATAGCCTCTGCTGTCACCAGCTTGCAGAGACCTCTTAATCCACCTGCCAAACAGCCACTGAAAGTGGCTTAGGAGGCACGGAACACGGTGTGTGCGTTTTGTTGGCCCTGTGTGTGGAGGCTATTTTGAAGAAACTTGCTTAGTCCTCGGTTCTGGATGGGAGTGGGCATGGAGGTTGTGTTTTTCTCTTCGTGTGTGTTTCCCTACCTCTCTTAGTAGGTCTATGTTGTCTTCTGTCCTCTCTAAGGATTAGGTCACCCTGTTCTCATTAGAATTTAAGGGATCCTACTGAGGGAGTTGGGGAGGATATTTCACAGTAGAGTGTCAACACTTTGGAGGGCCCGGATGTTGCTGTTGCTGGCGGCTGGGAATGAAACGCTTCACAGAGGAATTGCTCGTTCTGGGAGAGCCTCCTGCCTCCCTGTAAGGATTGGAGTTGGGGTGGCAGGTGCCCTGGCAGCCTGCTGTGGTGGACATCTGGGGGGCATGGCAATGCTGTCTCTTTCTCGGAGCTGTTTGGCATGGTGGAGCCAAACATAACCCCGGGCCTGCATAGGCGAACTAGGTCAGGATAGCAGAGTAAGAGCTACACACGATATCCACGTGCTAAATGTCAAGTTAATAAGTGCTACAGGAAGCCCGGGAAGGCTCTCGCCCAAATCAAGGGGTGTTTGAACAGTCATCGCCTGCTTTATACCCTTCAGAAGTATCTGCCTGATTCTTTCTTTTGTCCTTCTAGACATACACGCATAATTATGTTAGCTGAGCGGGATGTGGTGGTGAACCCCTTACTCCGAGCTTCTTGGGAGGTGAGGCAGGGGGATTGGTTCACCCGAGGGGCTCAAGGCCAGGCTGGGTAACGTAATGAGTCTCTTTCTCACCCCTACCCCAAAAACAAAACAGCAACAAAAATAGGAACTTCTATCACTGAATGCCTGCAGAGTTTAAAAAGAAAAAAAACCTGCCATTAATGAAAGTCCCGCTGTGTGCCAGGCACTGTTGGAAGTGCTTTGGTGTATATGTTGCTTTTGTTTGTTTTACTAATAAGAAAACTGAGACCCAGAGAGGCTAATGCCTCTGAGGTCACTCAGCCAAGATGCAGCCAGGCTGGGGTAGAGCCAGGGCACGATGACCACCGCACTGGCGTTTTGTAGCGGACTGCTGGGGGCTCCTCATGGCGCGTCCCTCCCAGGGGCTGTTCGCGGGAAAGCAAGTCTAATTTCCCTTTAAATATTTCCTGGGCCTCCTCTAAGGAGGGAAACTCTTGCCTGACAAGGCCCCATGCAAGTCACGTGAGACGCTGCAGGCAAACAGTTAAGGCCTCGAAGCCAGACAGAAGTCTGGGGGAAACCAGCACGAGGCTACGGCTCCCGGCTGATAAGCCCCTGGTGCCCGACACTGGCCCCGGCCCCTTCTGCGTGATCCTTTTGACCCTCAGCAGATAGCGGCCATCTTCCATTTCCCTTTGACCTCGCTGAGGCAGGCTCTGGGGCAGCCCTGGGGACTGGGATGGATCCCTGACCCTAGGAATAAGAATGTGTTGTCTGGAGGGTGTTTGACTGCTTCTTCTGGAGGTCGCAGCAGAAAGACAGCTTTTGGGATGCATGGGAAGCTGGTGGTTCCAGCACACTGAGAGAGAAGCTAGGTATTTGGGGGGTGCTGAGTTGCCATTCGTGTTGCCATCCAGCATCACCAAGAGTTGCAGGCAGTCTGTCCCAGGGGCGCGCCTTATTTCTCCTGGGTTGTTGCCTCTTAACATCTAGGGAATCTGATGCCGGCTGTGGAACAGGGTGAAGTAGAATAAGAAGCCCGTTGTTACCGCTTCTCTTACAGCGTGGGAAGACCGGGCATTGGGTCTGACCTTGGGATAGTAGCTGAGCCCAGGCCTCTTCCTCCCTTTGACTGGATGTGAGGTTTTGGCTTCCTTGATGGCTAATTTGCTTCCCATGGTTTCGTGCCTGTCTTCAGTTTGTGGACCATGAAATTCAAAAGGCCTCTTTGGAAAAGCTCATTGGCATCCGTTTCCTGCCACAGCCTGGGTTGAGGCTGGGGAATCAGAAACGGCGTCAAAGTCGTGTTCTGGTGTGTCTGCGTGTGCTCCGCTGCCACCTGCAGAGCAGGTGTGGCCTTCTCCACCTCTCCCGTAGTCACATGGGCCACCGGTTCTGGAATAGTGACCGCTGCTGTTTTTGTTCACAAATGTCTCTGCAGAGCGTGGTGAGGTGCGGGTCATTGGTAGCAGGAAGAGAGACCCGGCGTGGCACGGGAGGTAGAGTTGCATGTCTGAAGCCGGAGGGCTGCTTTGTTGGGACTTTTCCGTGTGAATTGTGTCACATTCAGAAACATCACCTCCTTCTAGGGAAACGGGTTTCCAGAGTTTCCTGCTAGGCCCTTTTAGAATTGTGCTCAGCAAAGGAAGCTTTCTGGGTCCTGTGTAACTCAGCAAGGCCGGGGGAATAATTCTCTTTCCAGAGGTGCAGTCGAGGATGCAGTGCCTCTTTTATTTTTTACCAGCTGAGAACTAAAGGGGATTTAGTGGTTTTTTAAAGGATTAGAATGACTAAGTCTAAGAAGCTTTTTACGTCTTCGCTGAGTTTTGTTACCCATGTTCTGTCTTTACGGCAGAACATGTCTGTTAAGTGGATCGTTAATTAACCAGCCAAACCAAGTCTTTATTTAAAAAGAAGGTGCGTAAGAATCTTGGCAGACAGGCTAGGATAATTTGGTTTCCATTAAGAAAAATAACCATCTTGGAAATTACTAAAGTTGACACAAAGTCTGTTTTCTCTTTTGCCCTTCTAGAGCCTGGGTTCCAATAAATAATTGCTACCTCATGTCTAAAGAAATTCCCTTTTCTGTGAAAAAGACAAAAAGCATCTTCAACAGTGCCATGCAAGAGATGGAAGTTTACGTGGACAACATCCGCCGGAAGTTTGGGGTTTTTAATTATTCCCCGTTCAGGACACCGTACACGCCCAACAGCCAGTACCAAATGCTGCTCGATCCGTCTAACCCCAGCGCCGGCACTGCCAAGATCGACAAGCAGGAGAAGGTGAAGCTCAACTTCGACATGACGGCGTCCCCCAAGATCCTGATGAGCAAGCCCATGCTGAGCGGGGGCGCGGGCCGCCGGATCTCCTTGTCGGACATGCCGCGCTCGCCCATGAGCACGAACTCTTCCGTGCACACGGGCTCCGACGTGGAGCAGGACGCAGACAAGAAGGCCACGTCCAGCCACTTCAGCGCCAGCGAGGAGTCCATGGACTTCCTGGAGAAGAGCACAGGTCAGCGGTCAGCGGGCGGCGGGGCGGGGCGCTGCCCCGAGGTTTCCTGCGCTTCCTGGGGAGCCGCGCCCCAAGGGCCAGGCAAAGGCTTCTGCAAAGGCTTGTGCTCGGCCGGAGCAGAGATTAAGGGACCCCCAAATAAGAACAGTGCCCCTGAAGCTTGCTGGAAGTTAGTCTGTCATTTATTTATTTATTTGATTGTGTTTAAAAATTTTTTTTGTTGGGACGTTTTCCGTGCAGCATGTTTACTTTCATCTTAGGGAGTTGGTGAGCGTATTTAATGTATCGTAGTTGTTTTTATTCCCGTTTTCATCTCCTTTCTAACCACCCCCAAGTCTAGATTCCCTTCCCATTTGCAAAAGAGCTATCTCCCTTTTTTCCTTTTTTTTTGTTTTTCCCCCGGTACCAGGAATCGAACTCACGACCTTGCGCTTGCCAGGCAGGCGCTGTGCCGCTGAGCTAAATCCCCAGCCCCCTCCCTTTTTTCCTATTGTTTATCATTTTACTATATTAAAAAAATCTGTACTTTAGATTTCTCATATGTAAGAGAAGTTATGCCATATATATATATTTTTGTTTTTGTTTTGAGTTTGTTTGTTTGGTTTTGGAACCGGAAATTGAATTCTGGGATCTCGTGCTTGCCGGGCAGGAGCAGTGCCACTGAGCTACATCCCTGGCCCACGTTATGCCGTATTTAAGCTTGTGCGTCTGATTTATTCCATTTAACATTACGGTCTCACGGTGTTTCCCTTTTCCTACACGTGACTCAAGTTTATCCTTCTTTGTGGCAGAGTAGTACTCCATTATGAATGAATACTTTTTTCTTTATCCATTCATATGTCCATCGATATATAGGCTACTTCCAAGATTTAGCTATCTGGAGTTAAGCTGCTATAAATTTTTTTTTTTTTTCTGCTATAAATTTGGATATGCATGTATTAGTATAATATACTATCTTTAATTTGGGGACAAAGTTACCTAGAAGGGGAGTAGCTGGATTTAATAGAATTTCTAGTTTTAGGTTTTTGAGGAATGTACTGATTTCTATAGTGGTTGTACCAGTTTATATTCCCACCAAAAATGCAGAAGGGCTTCCTTATCCCTGTATCCTCTCTAGCATTTATTATTTGAGTTTTTGATGATAACCAACCTATGTGAGGTAAGATGGAATGCCAGTGTGGTTTGAATTTGCATTTCTCTGATGAACAGAGATGTTGAACATTTTTTCATGTATTTATTGTCCATTTGTACTTCTGAGAAGTGTCAATTCATTTCAGTTTGCCGCTTGTTTGATTTGGTCTTTTATTGGGGGGAGGGCTGGTCTGATTTTTTTTTTTTAGTTCTTTATATATTTTTAATATTAGTCCTCTGCTGAGTATTAGTTGACAAGTTTTTCACATTTTATAGATTGTCACTTCACAATGTAGCCTTTACTGTGCAGTAGTCTTTTAATTTGATAATAATGCAATTTGTTAATTCTTTTTTTTTTTTGTTTGTTTGTTTGTTTTGGTTTTTCTCCGGAACCGGGAACCAAACTCACGACCTTGCGCTTGCCAGGCAGGCGCTTTTGCCACTGAGCTAAATCCCCAGCCCCAATTTGTTAATTCTTGATGCTGTTTCTTGTGCTGTTGGGATTCTGTTTAGAAAGTCCTTTCCTGTACCTCTGTCTTTAAGAGTTTTACCTGTTTTATTTTTATTTTTATTTTTATTGTCTTTTTGAGACAGGGTCTCGCTATGCAGTTCAGGCTGGCCTTGAGCTCACTTTGTAGCCCAGGCTGGTCTTGAACTTACAATGTGGATCTAGAGACTAATGTTTTGCGTGTATACAACCAGTTTTCCCAGCACCATTTGTTAAAGGGGCTATCTTATTTGTAGAACTTCTGGTCCCTTTTTCAAAGATCAGATTTTTTTTGCATCTTCTGTTTTATTCCGCTGATCTGTGTGTCTGTTTTTGTTCCAGTATCATGCCTGGAATTGCTTTTGCTATGCTGGGTCTTTTCTGGTTCTATATAAATCTGAGGATAGATTTTTCAAGTTTTGTGTGGAATGGTGCGGTATTTTGATTGGGATTGCTTTAAATCTGTATATCAGTTTTGATTATATGGCCATTTTGACAATATGGTTTTGCCTAGCCAAGAGTTTTCATTTTCTGATGACCTCCTCTGATTTCCTTTTTCAAAGTCCTGTAGTTTTCGAAAGACGTTTTTAGGTTAACTCCTAGCTATTTAAGTTTTCTTTTTTTTTAAAAAGTTTGTCGGTACAGTTTAGGTATACATAATGATCACATTCATCATAGAGAATTTGTACCTGTACAAACTTGGTTCTCTTTTTTCCCCTCCCTTCAACCCTTCTTCCCCTTTTCTTTCTTTTCTCATCATTTTTTGTTGTCCGTTCTTTTACCCTCCCCCCTTGTTCCCCTTCTCGTTTGAACATTTTCTTCCCATTTCTCAGTATCTGTTACACATTTTGGTTCTTATTTACATTTCGTCCTTATTTACACTTTCTCACACCAGAAAAACAATGTGGTATTCACCTTTGTGTCTGATTTATTTCACTTAAGTGTATGGTCTCAAGATGCATCCATTTAGCCAGAAATGTCTCAAGCTTATCCTTCTTTATGGCAGAGTAGTACTCTATTGTTAAAAGAGCCCCCACATCTTCCTTACCCAATTATCAGTTGATAGGCATTTGGGCTGTTTCCAAGATTTAGCTGTTATCCTGTGCCTCTATAAACATGGTGGCATGTATCACTATGGTGTAATGCAGTTCAGATTTTAAGAAATCTCCACATTGATTTCCACAGCGGTTACACCAGATTGCACTCTCACCAGCAATCCCAAAGGGTTCATTTCTCCTCACAGCCCCGCCAGCATTGGTCACTGGTCGATTTCTTGATAATAGCCATTTCTTCTGGAGTGAGATGGAATCTCTGCGTTGTTTTAATTTGCATCTCTTGAATGAACAGTGATGTTGAACATTTTTTCATATTTATTTGCCATTTCTACTTTTCCATCTGAGAAGTGTCTGTTCATTTCAGACACCCTTTTCCTGGAGTGGGTCTTTAAATGGGGGGGGTCTGATTTTTTTGAATTATTTATGTATTCTGGATATTAGTCTTTTGTCTGAGGAAGAGCTGCGAAACATTTTTTTCCCAGACTGCGGGTTGTCTGTTCACTCTGTGGGTGGTTTCTTTTGCTGTTCAAAAGCTTCTTAATAAAGTTGAGGTCTCAATTGTTGATTCTTGGTGATATTTCCTGTGTGATTGGAGTTTTGTTCATAAAATCTTTGTGTGCACCAATGTCTTTGAGAGTTCTACCTGTTCTATCTTCTGGTGGATGTAGTGTTTCTGTTTTAATATTTATATTGAATCTCTGGGATCTTGACTGTTATATACCTTGGTGTAGATTTTTTTTTTATGTCATTTGCTTTGTTTCCTGCTTTTTCAGTGATTCTGATCAGTGTTATTCTTTGTATCATCTATCAGCTGCTGGATTGGTTTTTCGTGGTCCCTTGCCTTTTTTTTGGTGGTACTGGGAATTGAACTCATGACCTCGTGCTTGCCAGGCGGGCACTGTGCTCCTGAGCTATATCTCTGCAACCCCCTTGCTATTTTTAAGAACTCTTTCTTCTTCTTTTTTTCCTTCTCATTATTTATTTATTGATTTATTGATTGTCTTTTCCAGACAGCGTCGGGGTATGCAGTTCAGGCTGGCCTTGAGTTCTCAAACTTGCAAGGATCCTCCTGCCTCAGCCTCCCGAGTGCTGGGATTACAGGCATTTGCCACCAAGCCCGGCTCACTTTTTTGTCTTTTTTGAGACAGGGTTTCACTATGCAGTTAAGGCTGGCTTTGAACTTACTCTGTAGCCCAGGCTAGCCTCGACCTCGAGGCCATCCTCCTGCCTCAGCCCCTGAGTGCTGGTATTGCAAGTGTGCACAACCATGCCCAGCTTTTCCTTGTCTTTTTGAGACTGTGTGTCGCTATGTAGTTCAGGCTGGCCTTAAAATCCCTTTGTAGCTCAGGTTAGCTTTGGATTCACAGAGATCCTCCTGCGTCAGGCTACTGAGTGCTGGGATTATAGGTGTGTGCCACCACACTTAGTAAGAAATCCTTTTTTCATGATTGCTAAACACAATCCTGTCTTCTATAGCAGATATTCTATCCTCAAATTGGCTCATTCTGCTAAATATACTTTCAATGGAATTTTTATTTCCTGGTTGTCTGTTTGAATCTGTTTCATGAATTTCATTTCTTTCGTATGTTGCGTGTTCATGGTTTCCATCATTTACCTAAGATCTTCTTTTTTTTTTTTTAATCTCTATTTGCTCTAGAGTCACTAACAATGTCTTCATTATGGTCACCATCTCTGTAATTACCTGAGAAATTATTTCTGATTTGATTTATTGTAGAGTCTTATTTATTTGCTTTGTTATTTCTGCTGTTACCACTTCAGAGAGCCCAGGTTGGATGGCTTTTGGCTTGTTCTAGCTCACTGACCCCTGGATTTGCCTTTGGTGAGCTGGAAGCTTAAGTGTCTTCTCTCTCTTATTTATTTACTTATTTTTGGTAGTTTAATTTTTGGTTTGATGCTTGTAAATTGCTTATGGCAGGTAGTTTCATTGCTAGTATTTAGAACTCATTTACTACTTCTCAGAGATCTTTTTCAGGTATAGCTTGCTTTTTGTTTTGTTTTGTTTTGTTTTGAGACCAAGGTATCACTATCTAGTTCAGGCTGGGCTGGAACTTGTGATACTCCTGCCTCAGCCTCCTGAGGACTGGGATTACAGGTGTGCATCACCATACCTGGCCTATGTCTAGATTTTGGGTTTTCAGCTGTTGCAAGATCCTGCCTCTCCAATTTATTGGGGATGAGAAGTTGCTGCTTATTTGGCCTAGCCACTGGTTCATGACCCTTAGTCAGTCTCAGTCTTGGCATACTAGCAGGAACAACTGATTAGGACAGTTTTGTTACCTGGGCCAAAGTAGTACAGTCAGGAATAC